GGTGTCAATCACAGAGAGTTCAAGTCCATAACAGTAAAAAATAGATTATTAAAATATTAGATAGATGTGACCATAAAGGAATGTAAAAGGGAGAGTTTATTCTGAGGACCAGGTGATGCACCATGCTGGTGGGATCAGAGGAGAATTTACAAAGGAGAGGTAGACATCCAGGCTGGGTCGTGCAGGATCAATGGGAGTTTGCAAGGGGAGAGGGCATGGCAGGCAGGTGGAACAGCATGCTGGGTTCTGGGGGCTAGTGATAGCAAAACAGAGACAGAAGGTAAAAGAAGGTATGGGTGAGGCTTGCTCAGAAGCTTTGACTAGGTCTGCAAGCAGTTGAAGTGACATGATCAGATTTATGGTTTTTTTGTTTGTTTTTTGTTTTTGGCCAACTCTTTGTTTCATAAAATAGAGTAAGTGTTCCTAAATTTAGTTTTAGAAGGTGATTTGAATGGCTCTGTGAAAGACAGATTACAGGTCAGAAAACTAGTTGGAGGCTATGCAAAGAACCCAGCTGAACAATGAGGTTTAGAACTATCATGGGGCCATGGGGCTAGAAGGGAGATGGACCTGCAGAGGGTATCAGGTCCCCAAACCCCAGAATCTAGTGCACATCTATTATGTTGAAGGACACAGTCATGTCCCTGCCTAAAGAAAGGACACTGCCCTTAGCTCCAAAAATAAAGACTAAGTTTTTATTTGAGAGAGATTTTTTTCCTCTTTTTATATACATTTTTTTCCTCTAGGAAATAGACAGACGGTTGGAAAAAAAACTGAAGATCACACAGAAAGAGAGGTAAGGCTGCTGTCTGGTCTGAGGGCTCGAGCTCTCTGTGGTTTGAGAGCTGGGCAGTCAGTGGTGTTCTCCAACTGGCCATTAGGTTTAGCAGGTCCTAGCAGGTCAGGCTCTGGGGCAGCAAACCCTTCCCTCCAAGTTGGAGACCAGGATGTGGTGGCTTGAGGCTTTAGGGGTGAGGCTGGGGTGTTGCACCTGCCTCTGACCTTTGTGGGTTCCCTGCGTGAGGTCATCTGATGGGATGTGAGGAAGTGACAAGTTGGAAGACTTGAGTTTTAGGCCTGGCTGTGCCCCAGTTGCTCTGAGGTCTGGGGCAAGTCGTTTCCCTGCTCTGGACATCAGTTTCTTTCTCTGTGGCATGAATAGTGTGGGCAGATGATTTCTCTGGGTCCCCAGTGACTTGGTGGTTTAGGGTATTATAAGGGTATCCTGGAAGAAAACATTCTAGGAAATTCTTGAAAAACCTTTAAAAATAGCTTTGTTCTCCACCAAGACGACAGAGGAGGGTGTTTCCAGAGTAGGCGAAAGTTGACTTTGGCTTTCTGTTTTGGGCTTAGGGAACCTGTTGGTTTTCCATAAGTACAAGGGACAGGAGGGAAGATAGGATCTCTCTGGATTTGCTTACTGGCCTGCACAGTCATTCCCCAGGAAACTCTGGGGTGCTCTGCCTGCCTGCCAGTTTTCCTGGCTCCCTGCCTCTTTGATCAGATTGCTGGCTCCTTGTCTGTCTGCTTATCTCAGCAACCACACTAACCCTGGGTTACAGTCCCCGTTCCATACCATTTGTGTCCTACCCAGGACTTGTTTCCATTCACCCTGACTCAGTTCCTCCAATCCCGACTCCTGACAGTGAAGGCTCTGAAAGCAGGCCTGTTTGGTTCTGAAGAGAAGCTGGTTGACTGCTCTGGGGAGGGTCCTGGTGGCTGTTGTTGGGTGGTCATTGCTGCCTGGGTTCCTGTCTCCTCCTGTGGCTTTTGTTTCTTTCCCTTCATGTGTTGTTGTCCCTCTTTGTTTTTTGTCATTCCACCTCTCCTTGTGGACACATCGCCTTGATGTACGCGTCCACCAGCCTTGGACAATGCTTTTCTTTTGAGCATTGCCAAGCACTGTTTCTAGGTGCATCCTTCACTCCAGCCCCGCCGCTGTCCAAAGAAAGCCCTGGCAAGGGAGGTTTCTCTGTTCAGAAGCTCTTTTGAAGAGGATTCAGTTGTCTGGTGTAGCTTGTCTCTGGGAGGCACAGGCCACTTTCACTAGAAGGTGGCTTGGTAAATCTTGATGCCAGGCAGGGATGGCACAGTGGGCTCCTTTGTAGTGTTTGTCTGGTATGAACATGTGATGGGAGATTCGGCTGAGAGTGAACACTGCTGACCCCTAAGTTCAAAGGCTCCCACCCCACCAGCCAGTCCTACTCTGATCTGTGTAGGGAAGCTGGGATCTTAACTGACGTCATTCGATTCTGGACATAAACTGTTTTGCTGCAGGGCCAAATGGTGGTTGATGTGGCTGTGGTGAACATGGGGATAGAAGGAGGTGGCGTTCCAGCCCCCATGGCCAGGGGTTAGGGCTGAGGAGCAGTTCCTGTGGCCTGCCAGAGCTGGTCACAAGCTTGCTTTTTTGGGACACGCTTCTTGAGGAGTGGAAATTTTGCTGTCTGGTCAGAGGCCAGAGAATCATGGGTAGAATTAGTAAGGAGGGAGAGGAAAGTGATGAGAGGTAGGTGTGGGACATGGACAGGGCTTCCTTAGGAGCATGATTTGTGAAGCTGTGTTTGCTCTTTGTCAGCAGGAAATCCAAATCTCCTCCCAAAGTGCCCATTGTGATTCAGGACGATAGCCTTCCCGCGGGGCCCCCTCCACAGATCCGCATCCTCAAGAGGCCCACCAGCAACGGTGTGGTCAGCAGCCCCAACTCCACCAGCAGGCCCACCCTTCCGGTCAAGTCCCTAGCACAGCGAGAGGCCGAGTACGCCGAGGCCCGGAAGCGGATCCTGGGCAGTGCCAGCCCCGAGGAGGAGCAGGAGAAACCCATCCTCGACAGGTGAGTGTGGCTGGCAGGACCGGCCAATGATGGCTCTCCCAGTCCACCCAGGAGGAGGAGAGCATCCTGGCTACGTGTAGAGTAGTGAGAAGCAAGCAGAGTCAGGGTAGGAACCATGCAGCTCCAGCCGCGGACCCCAGCCTGTTGGGGATAGTTCACTGTGCTTCATTGGCTGGGCACGGCTCTCAAAGTCTATCAGGAGGTGGCAGTTTGCTGGCATGCTGCCTCTGCGGTTGGTAGTCACCAGGGGGCAGTGTTGCATTGAGAGTAAAGGCATGGATGAGCTTGTGTCAAAATCTGCCTCTTACCTCTTCTTAATTTAGAACGACTTGACCTCTCTGGGCCTTAGTTTTCTCATCTGAAAAAATGGGATAATAATACCAACCTTATCAAAGTGTTGTGCAATTCATTGAGTAAATGAGCATAGGATGTCGAGAACCTGGGCTGGCAGAGTGGAAAGTGCCCAGATAAGTGCTTTGGTTATATTTTCTGGGTCTCCAGTATGCCCGCTGTGATGTTTTTGTGAATTTTCTAAATTCCTTTTTACTCTTGGCATTTTTTTCTCTGCAGTATTAGAGGTTGCATTATATAAATTTGTCACTTCCTAATCAAGCAGTATGCATTAAGACGGCCTCCTTCTGACTTTGAGGGGCCACTATGGCATGGCATCCTGGGACTTGAAGAACTAATCTGCATACCTTCTTTCTAGCTCTTCATAATTTTGAAGAGATACCTGTTCTCTTTGTTGTTTCTCCTCTAAGTCTTCACCTTTCCAGGGTGGAAAATGCGTGCTTCCTTTAGTTTCCTAGAGTAATACGAGTCAACCATTAACCGCAGAGTTTGGAGAGGAGTGGGAGGGAAGAATTGGGGGGCAGGGGATGTGTCCCTCTGCTGAGCTCTTGATTCCAGCTCTTTACCTTGGCCTAACATCTGGAGATTCCAAATGGTTCTGCAGAGCATGTACTGTCCGTGGTCACTGCCTCTGGACAGAGTGGGCCCTCGAGCACTCCCCCTGCCTACAAGTGAATGCTGGCAGCTGAGCAGGGGGAAAGAATGCTGTAGCTGCTGGAGGTGAACATGTACCACCGACCCTACCTGCTCACAGGGGCCTCTCAACTTGGAGGTGTCCTGAGTCAGCTTCCCAAAGAAGCAGACTTGTGGAGCCAGAGTGACTTGGGCCCCAGCTACAAGGACAGTTGATTTTAAGATGGGTGACATCTAAGCCAGGTGCAGTAATCCCAGTACTTTGGGAGGCCAAGGCGGGAGGATCACTTGAGGTCAGGAGTTCAAGACCAGCCTGGCCAATGTGGTGAAACCCCATCTCTACTAAAATTACAAAAATTAGCTTGGGTGTGGTGGCGTTTGCCAGTAGTCCCAGCTACTGGTAGGCTGAGGTAGGAAGGATCACTTGAACTCGGGAGGTGGAGGTTGCAGTGAACGGAGATAGCGCCATTACACTCCAACCTAGGCGACAGAATGCGACTCCATCTCAAAAATAAATAAAAAATAAAGAAATGATGGGGGACATCTATTATATCCTTTTTTAGGCCTTCCTCTGCTTTTCTTCCTTTCAGGCCAACCAGGATCTCCCAACCCGAAGACAGCAGGCAGCCCAATAATGTGATCAGACAGCCTTTGGGTCCTGATGGGTCACAAGGCTTCAAACAGCGCAGATAAATGCAGGCAAGAAAAGATGCCACCGTTGCTGCCGTCACCGCCTCCTGGGTCGTCTGCCACGGGTTGCACTGCCGTGGCAGACAGCTGGACTTGAGCAGAGGGAACGACCTGACTTACTTGCACTGTGATCCCCCTTGCTCCGCCCACTGTGACCTTGAACCCCATGCACTGTGACCTCCCCCCTTCTCCCCCTTCCCACTGTGATTGGCTCATCGACAAGGGCTGTCCCAAGTCAATGGAAAGGGAAAGGGTGGGGGTTAGGGGAAGGTTGGGAGGACCCACCAAGGACTCAGAGAGTCAGACAGTGCCACTTGGCCACTTGGGGTAAAGCCAGTGCCAGCAATAACAGTTTATCATGCTCATTAATTTGGGATTTCAAAACACAAATGAAAACTCACACCCACCCACCCCCAAGTGCATGTCTCCATCACTTAAAAAGTAAGTTCCATTTGAAAATATCCTTTCTTTTTTTTTTTCTTCCTATTTTTGTTTGTTTATACAAATATCTGATTTGCAAGAAAAAGTGCATGGGAGGGGTTTTAGTGGTTTAACGAATTTTTAATTAAGAAAGGGTAGTTTGGTAGTCTACTTAAAAATGTTTCTGGGAAATTCACTAGAAACATTAACCAATAGGATTTTGGTGAGCTTAGCTTCTGTATTCCTACTGCCGCCCAGAAAAGGGGCAGGGCTCTGCAGCCGCCAGGACAGATGAGCACCCCATGCCTATACCTCCCTCCCCGAGCTGAGTCCCAGGGCATCTGGGCCTTGCCTGGAGACTGGGCTAGCTCTGTAGGCTCGGAGAGCCTGGGGAGGGTGCCAACCCCACCTCTAGTATTTTGGGAGATAGGGAAAGTGAACAGACTTCCCCTTCCCATACCCCTCAGGGTGGTTCCCTACCAGCCAGGCTTACTACTAGAAGAGAGCAGAGCACCAGGGAGTGAGACTGCATCCCTGGGCTTGGAAGTGAAGGAGAGGAGACTTGTTTAGTATTTTGCCATCGGCACAAGGAAAACCAGGAGAGAGTCTGCCTCCAGGACTCTGAGCCTTCTGCTTCGTATATTCAGAAGGTGGATAGGTCTTCCCACTCCAGCATGGCTTGAACTCTTAGGGGTCTGCAGTGCTCCATCTCCATTGATGGCCCCAGCTCAGTAACTATACCTGGTACATTTCCTGTGTGCAATCAGTACCTTGAAGGCAGAACATTCTGAATAAAGTTGGAAAAAGAACAGCTTTGCTTTGCAAAGATTGATGACAGACTGGTTCCTCAGAGGCCTAGGCTCCCATCACCCCTTTTTCCAGAGCGAGGGCCTGGAATGAAGGCAGTTTATCCTCTGTCCCTGGAGCCTGGGGTTTGCTTTGGCTCCTTGAGGTGGAAGAGACTAAGAGGGCAGCTGCCCAGAGCGGCTCTGTGTGTACCTGGTTCCTCTCAGGCTTCCTGATCCCTTCCATTGCACTGCGCCTTATCCCTCAGCCAGCCAGACGGCCTCCTTGCTCCTGACCAGCAGATACGTTTCGGGGTGGTTGGTATGGTTTTGCGATGAGGGCAGCACGTGGTGGCCAAGGTGGCAAGCTGAGTCTCACAGGCTCACTCCACCGCTGGTTCCCTGTGGGAATGGTGGGCCAGGCCCAGCAAGCCATGCCCCACCACGTCCTCCCCTCTGGAGGAAGCGCCAGCTGCCAGCCAAGTCAGCAGCTAGTCCACAGCACAGCCTTATAACCGTAAAGCCAGGCATTGCCCACGAGCAGAGCTGGAAGCAGAGCTTCAGTCAGTGAGAGGGAGGATTACCTTCAGGAGAAGGCAAGGAAGAAAATTGGCTGCTATCTTTATAGTTCCACTGCCCTAACCAAGTGTCCACATTCTAAATGTATAGTGTCCATCCCTCATGTAATAGTGGTTTCCCACCCAAAGTGAGACTTTCCTTTTAATTGGAGAAGGGTATAGAGGTAGTCCAGGTGGGAAGGCCAGAAGTGCTGGTTGCCCAGCCATTGGGACCACCTGTTCTTGCCCCACTACCCTCTAGTAGGGGCCAAAGTAAAGGCTGGTTGGTGGGTGTCTGGATTGAGGATGTGGCAGGGACTGGTCCTCCCACCTCCCTCTGGCCAAAGATGGGCTTTGCCCGCTGTGTGCCTGTCACCACCCACCAGCAGTCATGCCCTGGGCTTCCCAAATGGAGAGGTAGCAGGCAACGTTTTTAAAAAGAAAGAAAACAGGAAACTGTATTGTGTTAGAGGGAGGCGGGAGGGGAGATGAGGAAACGGTTTGGATTTTGTGTGTGGGAGGGTATTTTTTTGGGGGTAGTTGTCTGTAACTTTCCTAAGTGCTTTTTTTCCTTTTCTTTTTTAAAGTAAGTTGCAGGCTTTGGCTTGGAAAACCCCAGGGGGATGGGGGGCAGAAACTTGAGGCTGCTGCCCCTTTATCTGCCTTCACAGTACTGTCCCCTTCCCCCAGCTTCTCCCTGACCCCATGGGCCAGGCCTCAGACCTTCCAGCTAACCGCTTCCCATGAGCCACTACTCTGATGTCAGCCTATAACCAAAGGAGCTGGGGGGTCCAGGCCTGGTGACCACCCTTTCTCAGCCCACTCAATCAGGGTGCTCCCCACCTGCAGGCAGGAGGCAACACCCTATCTGCTACCATCAGCCCCTTCCAGAGCCCATCTGCCCCGCCCAGCCCTGCCCTGCCAGCCCAGCCATACCCTGCTCTGCCCCATCTTGGGGGTGCCCTGCTCAGGGATGGGCTGGCAGGGCTGCACCCAGCCTCCCTGGTAAGCAGAGACTCAAGAAACCTCTGGGGTCCTGTTTTCTGGTTGTGTGATCCCAGGGGTGCACATGGGCCCCTTGGGTGTCTGAACAGAAGGGTATGGGAGGGAGGGCCGCACCCCTGCAGTCTTACTCTGCTGGTGTAGCGGGCAGCTGCCCACTCCCACCCCGTTGGCAGATTAAGCATTTTATAAATTGTATTTTAAATACATGTTTTAAACTTGTCAGATCTTTGTCCTCATTTCAGTCCCCGCCCTCTACCTCTTGCTGTGGCCGCTTATTTAACCCTGGGGGGTTTCCCTCTGCCCAGTTGCAGGGAAAGACTGTCTTTGGTAAAATACTAGGCTGGGTGGTATGTGGGGTGAGGGGAAAGGACCCACCCCTTAGGGCTCCCAGAGAAGTAGAGCTCTGGGTCCTGGGGCACTGTCGGGAGACCATGGCAGAGGCCACCTCCTGCTCTTACACAGGGCTTATCTTGGAGCCAGTGGAGAGAGAGAACGGCTGCTTTTGTGGGGCTCCCAGTCCAGAGGGGGAAGCGCTCTTCTGAGGAGGGGCCTAGCCCGGTGCTTTGAGAAGGCACAGAAGGTCAAGACTTTGCATGCAGGGACACCTGTAGCAGAAACCCCAACCCTGGGCAGGGCTTCGAGGTGGAACCCTACACTCTGAGAGCCCAGGGGTGGCTGGGGTGACAGCTTGAGGACCTTCCTTGGCAAGAGGCACAGGGGCTGAAGTTATTGGTGTTTATTAGCTTACCAGGCCACAAAAGCAAATTTCAGCAGCAGCTCCTGTCTGGTGGCCCATCTGTCTGCAGGCCTTGAGCAACTGTCCAGAGTCAGGCCTCCAGAGGGTCAGTGGGTTCGAGAAGGCACAGAGCTGGGCCACTTTCTGCTGTCAGAGTTGTGTTCCCTGGGGAGGGGAATGGGGCAGAAGGGTGGGAAACATTTGGCCCTTTCCCTATCTGCCAGTACATGAACCATCCGTGCATGCCCAAGTGAGGAGAGAGAGGCGGCCTCCCCTCAGAAATGGTGGACCCAGCAGTCGGGCTTAGGGGCCTGATTCCAAGTCCAGGGCACCCTTCCCCAGTGGCCTGGAGGGGGACTGCTGCAGGAGACGCTCCCCTCTGCCCAGGTGCACAGTCCGCTAGTCCTAATGTTGAACCATAGGGAACTCGTAGCCCTCAGTTAGGTGCCACTGAGTCTCGGACACAGGAAAGCAGAAGCACTCTGGCTTCAGTGGAACAATCTACCGGGTACACAGGCCCTCAACAAAGGTTTTTTTTCTTTGCCTTTCACCCTTTCTCCTCCCTGGAATAAGCAGCCTCTCAGGTATGGTCTCTTAGAAAGATGGATTCCCAGGCATTAGGCCAGGGGCCTCTTAAGGAAGGATCTGGAAGGGCCTAGGCTGGGGCCCTTTCTCTGGGCACCCACCTGTTTCCTTGAGATCGTGACTGGAAGAAGGGGCTACGGATGTCAGGATCCAGGCCAGGGGTTGTGCACTGGTCTTGCACGTAGTGGTTGGTTGGCTTCCTGCGGACCATCTTCTTGTCCATCCGTGGGCAGAGCGGGATGCAGGGCACCTGGGCATAGGGGCTCTGCAGGTTGGGAGCTGGTGAAGAAGGAGGCAGAAGGGGGAATGCTTCAGAGTACGCCCAGCCTTGGGAAGCAGGCAGATTGAGGTGAAATCCTGGCTTTGCTACATAATGGACTAGGCACTTTGGGGCAAGTCACTTAACCTCTCTGAGCTTCTGAGCTGGAGGTGATAGTGGTACACACCTCACAAGAGTTGATGATGAAGATTAAAGGAGAAATATAGGCAAAGCACTCAGCTCTGTACTGCACCCAGAATAAGAGCTGGTAACAGCTTAACAAGGAGCAGAGGTCTTTGTGACGGGTGCTGGCAAAGTCTAGTAGGCATACTCTAGAAAGACTGCAAAGCTCCTATCCTGTTACTTGGCACACAGTAGGAGTCTAATAAATGGTACCTGGGGAAGGAGGCAGGCTTGCCCAGTGGAAAGAGCATAGGTTTTGGGGTCACACCTGGATATAAACAGCCCTTTCCAAAACACACTAGCTAGGGGCATTGGGCAAGTTGCTTAACTTCATCAGTTTCTTTTTTTTTTTTTTTTTTGAGATGGAGTTTTGCTCTTGTTGCCCAGGCTGGAGTGCAATGGCATGATCTCAGCTCACTGCAACCTCCGTCTCCCAGGTTCAAGCGATTCTCCAGCCTCAGCCTCCAGAGCAGCTGGGATTACAGGTGCTTGCCACCACGCCCGGCTAGTTTTTTAGAGATGGGGTTTCACCATGTTGACCAGGCTGGTCTCGAACTTCTGACCTCAGGTGCCCACCTCAGCCTCCCAAAGTGCTGGGATTACAGGCGTGAACCACCATGCCCGGGTCAGTTTCATTTTTCTAATCTGTAAAATGGGGTGAATACATGATTATGAGTATTAAATTCCAGAGCATCTGCAAAGGGCCTAGCTCAGTGGGCACTCAGTAAACAGCTGGGATTGCCAGTCTCTACAGCTGTTCTTTCTCGGTCCTGGCTCATGGGACCAACCTGTGCTCAGGCTAAGGCAGGAGGGGAGGAGTCCAATGCAGGAGGCCATTTTCATAGGCCTAGAAGGAAAATAGTGATTATCAGCCGTTTTCCGATGTACACAGTTAAGCCCAAAGTGGGAAACTGGCCTCTCAGCTCCCTGGGCCTGGCTGCCTGAGGGCCCAAGGAGAGGAAGCCAGATGGGCAAGAGAGCAGAGCCCCAACCCTGGCCCATCCCACCCTGCCCAGGGGCCTCACCATAGTTCTGCTGCTTCAGCCGGCTGAGGATACTGAGGACCTTTCGTTCTGGGACTTCTGAGCTCTCTTCTTGCTGGGGGTTATAGGGAAGCTTCTTCTGCAACCGCAGCCGGCCTATGGCCGCTTCCATCTCCTGGGCCTTGCAGGTGCCTGCCTTCAGCTTTTTCTGGTAGTAGCTGGGGAGGCAGTGCTCACCCATCTCAGCCTGGCTGTGTTTAATTCACCCTTCTCCTCCTTAGCCCCTATCTCTCTGGCCTGCTCTGGAGCAGGAACACAAGCCCAAGAGTCAGGAAACCTGGATTCTAGTCCCAGCTCAGCCCTTAGCTTTCTGTGACCATGAGCAAGTCACTGTCCTGCTCTGGGCCTTAGTTGCCCTGTGTAAAATGGAGGAAAGAGGTTCGCTCTACCCTGTCAATGCAAGTGACTTGACTTCTCTGAGCTTCGAGTTTCCATTGGGTAAAACAGATAAAACAGTTCACATGCCTTAGGATTAAATAACAAGGATGAATTAACACAGCCTCAAGCACGCAGCATGGTGTCTGGCTCACGGAAAATGCTTTGTACATGTTACCTATTATTTTGGGGAGGGGCGTGGCGGGGAGACAAGAGTCTCCCTCTGTTGCCCAGGCAGGAGTACAGTGGCGTGAACATGACCTCACTACAGCCTTGAACTCCTGGGCTCAACTGACCCTCCTGCCCTAGCCTCTCGAGTAGTTGGGACCATAGGCACCAACCACCACGCCCAGCTAATTTTTTTATTTGGTGTAGAGACGTGGTCTCGCTGTGTTGCCCTGGCTGGTCACAAACTCCTTGCCTCAAACTATCCTTCCACCTTGGCCTCCCAAAGTGTTGGGATTACAGGCATGAGCCACTGCATTACCTATGATTACCAATGATTTTATCACTGATACATTTACTTAGATGTGCAAGTACTTAGCTGTGCAATTAACTCCTGCTCATCTTCCATATTTCAGGTTAGGGATTCTGCTCCAGAAAGTCTTCTCTGTCCTATCCCCACTCCTACCCTACAGAGTAACTAGGCTCCTGCTGGAGGCCCCCTGCAACCTGTAGTTACCCAATTATATACGCCCTGCAACCCGCTTGATTTTCTTAACTCACTGCTTGCCTTTTCCCCCACTAGACTGTGACATCATTCATTCAGTAAGTATTCACTGAGTGTTCACTGTGTCCTGGCCACTCTTCTAAGTGATTGGAAAAGAGTGAAAGAGACATCCACACAGTGTCCCTGTATCATAGCCTCAGCCCCACCTCTTACCCCAGCCGTCTACTAACACCTTGGGCCAAGGGTGCTGCAGTGGCTCCTTTCACACAGGCTTCAACTAACTTTGCACAGGGACGACCCTACGGGTCCCACCTCAGACGTGAGCCTCTTGCTTCCTGCCCCAGGGATTCTCTGACACGGGATTCTCAGAAGTGCAGGGGAGTTAAGCACCTGTGGGGCACCCTTACTAAAGGTGTTAGTAGATGAGCTGTACAGGCTTTTCCCTTTCTTCTCCTGGCAGTTCTGAGCTGCCTTTTTTTTTTTTGAGATGGGGTTTCGCTTTTGTTGCCCAGGCTGGAGTGCAGTGGTGCAATCTCGGCTCACAGCAACCTCTGCCTCCTGGGTTCAAGCGATTCTCCTGCTTCAAATTCCCAAGTAGCTGGAATTACAGGCATCCGCCACCACACCCAGCTAATTTTTTGTATTTTTAGTAGAGACTGGGGTTTCATCAGGTTGACCAGGCTGGTCTTTTCTTTTGAGATGGAGCCTCGCCCTGTCGTCTGGGCTGGAGTGCAATGGCGCAATCTCAGCTCACTGCAACCTCCGCCTCCTGGGTTCAAGCGATTCTCCTGCCTCAGCCTCCCGAGTAGCTGGGATTACATGCCCAGCTAATTTTTTGTATCTTTAGTTTAGACAGAGTTTCACCATGTTGGCCCAGGCCGGTCTCAAACTCCTGACCTTGTGATCCACCTGCCTTGGCCTCCCAAAGTGCTGGGATTACAGATGTGAGTCACCACACCCAGCCCTGAGCTGCCATTCTTAGTCTCCTCAGAAGATTCTAGGAGGTGCTTGACTCAGTAACACATCCTTGAATTGGCTCCTCCTTCTTTGCGGCACCCCTTCCCTTATTCCTGCCTCCTGGGATCGTTTCCCACATCAGAGTCAGTGAAGGGGTGTTCAGCCCCTCCACACCTGTGGGTGTTTCTCGTCTGGTGGAACGAGAGACTTGAGAAAAGAAAGAGACACAGAGACAAAGTATAGAGAAAGAAAAGTGGGCCCAGGGGACCAGTGCTCATACAGAGACCCATGCCGGCACTATTCTCTGAGTTCCCTCAGTATATATTGATCATTATCTCTACCATCTCGGAGAGGGGGATGTGGCAGGACAATACGGTAATAGTGGGGAGAGAGTCAGCAGGAAAACGTGAACAAAGGCCTGTGTCATAATTAAGTTTAAGAAAAGGTGCTGTGCTTTGATGTGCACATACACAGACACAGCAGTGGTGGATTAAAGAGCAGTATTGCCGCTAGCACGTCTCACCTCCAGCCCTAAGGCGGTTTTCTCCTATCTCAGTAAATAGAACATACAATCGGTTTTACACCAAGACATTCTATTCCCAGGGACAAGCAGGAGACAGATGACTTCATCTTATCTCAGCTGCAAAGAGGCCTTTCTCTTTCACTAATCCTCCTCAGCACAGACCAGTCAGGTCTTTCCCTTCCCACAAGGCCATGTCTCAGGCTATCGCATGGGGAGAAACCTTGATCAATACCTGGCTTTCCTAGGCAGAGGTCCCTGTGACCTTCCGCAGTGTATTGTGTCCCTGGGTACTTAAGATTAGAGAATGGTGATGACTTTTAACAAGCATACTGCCTTCAAGCACTTTTTTAAACAAAGCACATCCTGCACAGCCCTAAATCCATTAAACCTTGAGTCAACACAGTACATGTCTCTGCAAGCACAGGGTTGGGGCTAGGGTTGCAGATTAACAGCATCTCAAGGCAGAAGAATTTCTCTTAGTAGAGAACAAAATGGAGTCTCTTATATCTACTTCTTTCTCCATAGACACAGTAACAATCTGATCTCTCTTTCTTTTCCCCACAGTCAGACCATAAACAAATAAATAAAAATACAGGCCGGGCATGGTGGGGTTCATGCTTGTAATCCCAGCACTTTGGGAGACCAAGGTGGGAGGATCACTTAAGCCCAGGAGTTTGAGACCAGCCTGGGCAACACAGTGAGACACCCTACAAGAAATTTTAAAACTAGCCAGGCATGGTGACATGTGCCTGTAGTCCCAGCTACTCAAGAGGCTGACGCGAGAGGATTGCTTGAGCTGGGAGGTCAAGGCTGCAGCGAGCCGTCATCATGCCACTGCACTGCGGCCTGGGCAACGACAGAGCAAGACCCTGTCTCAAGAAAAATGCCATTTTAGGAGTGCTGGGTGCCCTGAGGAAAAGTAGAAGGGTAGGAGGTAGCGATAAGGGACTATTTTGCTCAACGTGGTAAGCAAAGGTCTCAGAGGTGACATTTGAACAGGATGGCGGAGGAAACAAACTGAATGGGTATCAGGAGGAAGAGTCTTCAGGCAGAGGAGTGGCCTCTGAAAAGGCTGGGAGGTGTAGGAAAGAGCTTGGGACAGCAAGGAGACTGGAGAGGCTGGGGCCTGATGTGTGAGTGGTGGAGAGGAAGAGATACGGGCAGTGAGATGGCAGGGCCATAGCATCTGGGGCTTTGTAGGCAGTGATGAGGGGTGGGCATGCTACTCAGAGTTTGAGAAGCCTTAGGGCTTAAACTGATGGCTCTGCTAGGGCCTTTGCCTATCTTTGGGGCCTAGGATTTGTGGTTTTAATGGGCCTCATACATAGAAGATAGAACACTAATTCCAGGGCCCTCATGTGGTACAATGTTGGATCTAGATCACTTGTATAAAACTGAAACTCCCAAAAGGCAACACTCTGAGTGAAACAGATGGACTAGAAAATAACTTCACTCCTCAGGAGCCAACAGGACACAGCAGTGTGTGTGCAGCTTTCTCAGTCACAATTTCAGAGGAAATCCCTTGCTCTCTGCTTCCTTTTTCCCCTTCTTGAGGGCTTGAATTCAGGTGTGTTGCTGATAAGCTGGTTTAGTATTGACTAGGGAATAGTGGAACAATGAATTGGAAACAAACTCGGTGCCTCAGTAACTTTCTCTTCCTGCCTGCTTCCTCCGAACTGTCAGTATAAGAGAGTAAACTCCTATCTTTTTGAACTACAGTGTATTGGGGTCTATTTCTTAACTAAGACACCAGCCTAAAATTCTATACCCAGCTAAACTGTCCAGTAAGTATGAGGATAGAATAAACACATTTGTCATCATAGATAATATTACCTCCCATGCGTCCTTTCCCAAGAAGCTACTGGAGGACATGTTCTTCCAAAGTGAGAACATAAATCAAAAAAGAAAAAGATGTGATTTCAGAAAGCAGGAGATCCTGGCCAGGTGCAGTGGCTCACACCTATCATCCCAGCACTTTGGGAGGCTGAGGCAGGAGGATCAACTGAGGTCAGGAGTTCGAGACCAGGCTGGCAAACATGGTGAAACCCATCTCTACTAAAAACACAAAAATTAGCTGGGCATGGTGTGGTGCATGCCTGTAATCCTAGCTACTGGGGAGACCGAGGCAGGAGAATCGCTTGAACCCGGGAGGCGGAGGTTGCAGGGAGCCGACATGGCACCACTGCACTCCAGCCTGGGCAACAAGAGTGAAACTCGGCCTCAAAAGAAAAAGAAAGCAGGAGATATAATGCAGGAGAGAGGCGAAGGAAAAGGAAGATGATGAAAAGAGATTGTACAATTGCAGTGCAAATGCCATAAATCACACCTGGTCAAATAAAATTTCTAAACATGAAAACTACAATACCTGGCCAGGTGCAGTGGCTCACTGTTTCTTTAAATGACTGTGATTTTTTCCCTGAAAACTGGACATTGGAATCTGATAATGTGGTAACTATGAATATAAGATTCTCCCCCTTCCTCAGAGTTTGCTGGGTTTTGTTACTGTTTATTTATGTATTTATTTTTGTCGTTGTTGTAGGCTGTCTCTGTGCCAAAGATCAGCCTAACGTATAAACTTAAGGTCTTCTCAGGTCTTTTCTGAGCCCAGCACTTTGGGAGGCTGAGGCAGGAGG